CTGAATTTGAAGGTATTGGTGCACATTCAATCAAAGTGAAAGGCAGCATTATCTCTTGTTTGTCATACCTAATTGACTCTTTCTTTCCTTTCCTCTGTGGTTTAATGCCATCTTCAGGTAAACGTGGGGACGTTCAAGATGCCATGGATTTCGTCAGACGTTTATATAAACAGAATACAAAGAAATCCAAACCAATCTACTCTCACTTCACCTGCGCCACGGACACCAACAACATCCGCAAAGTCTTCTCCGACGTCAAATACACTGTCCTTGTCCAGTCCTTAGAGTATGTTGAAATTATCTAATGAGCCCTAAATGCACCTTCAGTTTGCATACTCATCAGCCAAATTAATGTGTTATCATAATAGACACCATTTATGAAGCAAATGAGGATTTTTCATGGCAAGGGCTTCTCAACTGACGAGAGGCGTAGCTACACTAAACTGGTTTTCCAGAATACCTTCCAAGCTATGAGAGCAATAGCCTAACAGAAGCCATGAACACGCTAAAGATTCCCTACTCCAATACAGTATATATATATATATATATATATATATATATATATATATATATAGACTACTGCTCAAAAGTTTTAGATCAGTAAGAATTTTTATGTTTTTAAATGAAGTATCTTCTGCTCACCAAGCTTGCTTTATTTGATGAAAAAAAAATGACAAACAGTAATACTGTGAAATATTATGACAATTTAAAATGACTGTTTTCAATTTTAATATATTTTAAAATGTAATTTGAAAGCTGAATTTTCAACATCATTACTGTTGCTGTTTACACGTCAGTTTTCAGTGTCACATGATCCTTCAGAAATCATTCTAATATGCTGATTTTATGCTCAAAAAACATAAATTATTATTTTCAATGTTGAAAACAGTCGTGTACCATTTTTTCCACCAAAATTCTATGATGAATAGAAAGTTCAAAAGAACAGCATTTATTTAAAATATAATCTTTTCTGAGATTATAAATGTCTTTACTGTAACTTTTGATCAATTTAACTCATCCTTGATGAATAAAAGTATTTTCTAATTTCTTTCCCGCAAAAATAAAAAAATAAATTCTTACTGACCCCAAACTTTTGAATGGTAGTGATTAATGTTACAAAAGCTTTCCATTTCAGATAAGTTCTGTTCTTTTAAACTTTCTATTCATCAAAGAATCCTGAAATAAAAATGTAAAAAACTGTTTTCAACATGGATAATAATCATAAATGTTTCTTGAGCATCATATTTTAATCATTTCTGTAGGATCATGTGACACTGAAGACTGGAGTAATGATGCTGTAAATTCAGCTTTGATCACAGGAATAAATTACACTTCACTATATATTCACATAGAAAACCGCTGTTTTAAACTGTGATAATATTTCACAATATTACTGTTTTTTTTTTTTTTTTTTTTTTTTTTAATCAAATAATTGCAGCCTTGGTGAGCAGAAGAGACTTTTTTTAAAAACATATAAAATCTTACCGATCTAAAACTTTTGACCGGTAGTGTATATATACGACACTGTCGACACACTTACCCTAGAAACTGTCGTTATTCCTTTCTTCCTGACTACTCTCCTCACTTTAACACTATCTGTTCACTTTAGAAATTAAATATAGGTTTATCTTTGTTAAAACTGTATTTTTTTTTTATTATTAACATTAATGGCACATACATCAGCAGGGATATTATGCTGCTGTCACTTTAAAGGGTTAGTTCATTTAAATAGTTTATTTTCATTTACCCAAAAATGAAAATTAAGACATTAATTACTCACCCCTATGCTGTACCAACCCCGTAAGACCTTCGTCCGTCTTCAGGACACCAATGAAGATATTTTTGATTAAATTTGAGAGCTGTATCACTGCTACATAGGATCGAAACTTGACGGCCCAGAAAGTCATTGAAGAAAATGTTTAAATATTCCATGTGACTACAGTGGCTCAACTATAAGTTTATCAAGCAACGAGAATACTTTTTGTGCGGAAAAAACAACAACAAAAATAAAGAAGTATTCTCGATGAAAACTTATACTTGATAAACTTATATTTGAGCCACTGTAGTCACATGGAATATTTAAACATTTTCTTTATTGACTTTCTGGGCCGTCAAGTTTCAATCCCTTAGGCAGCCTATGTAGCAGTGATCCAGCTCTCAAATTTAATCAAAAATATCTATATTTGTGTTCCGAAGACGAACGAAGGTCTTACTGGGTTGGTACAGCATGGGGGTGAGTAATTAATGACTTAATTTTCATTTTTGGGTGAACTAATCCTTTAACTGTTCAATTATGACATAACTGAGAGAATACTTGATAAGGTAGGTATTTTGACATAATTTTGTGTGTCCATTCAAGCACATGTAAACATGAAAGAGGAATCCATTCAGTGTTTTATCGTTGTCTGAAATCGGCCACTCTCTCTCTCTGCGTGCGCACGCTTCGGTTGTGCCAATTTTCCCAATTTTCGGTTGTGCCAAGTCCCAATTTTCCCCTCTTCTTATTAGAATTTTTTTTTATTAGGGCGGGGCTTATTAGAAACACCTGGAGACTAATGTAAGACTGGAAAACTGGTTAAAGAGAAAATATCTGACCAGTGGCCCCTAAAGACAATGGCATTGCTTGCAAAATTATTGTTTAATATCATTTTAAAGGTCTCAGAGTGACTGGTATAGATGTCTCATTTCCAAAGAAGTAAAAGAAAAGGTAATAAGGTTTTTAAGAAGTTTAGGAATAACTGACACACAAAGCAATGTGGTCTCTAGGCATTCCAAAGGTGTAAATGCTAATTTCCACTGTTTTTAGCAGATGAGCGTCTTCTCCAGTAAATATGTTGGGGGAATACAGTAACTTTCCATTATAGACCATTTCACAAGATGTAAACAACACTGCATAAAAGCTGGGATAAAATACAACCAACAGAACATTTAAAACTGAATCAAAAAGTTAAACAAACATCTTTAAGATGTTTTCTTTACATGTGAAATAAAGAAAACAGTTACAAACTGAAACAGGAAGTGTTTCTGGACCAGTGTTGTTTACATCTTGTGAAATGGTCTATAAACTGATGATTTACATATCAAATAAGGTTTGGCTATATAAGGAAATGCAACGGAGAGTTCAGGGCTGCTTTTCTGTATCAGATCAGCCCATGATGCTGAGTCTTCAAGGCTCAGCATTCATGTAGTAAATATGTTGGGTAAAGTTCTTTGTTCTAGAATCATTTGATGGTTTGCATTGATTATCTTTCAATTGATTATGCAATTGTAATGATACATTTACCTGACATAATAAATTGTTATATTTGATGTTATATTCTATCAGACTTAAAAGGAATAGGCTTAAAAGTTAAAAGGAATAGTCAAACATTAACGTGTATTTAATGATGCACAGATATCATTGATAAACCTTTTTTTTTTCATTTTATGGAGTCAGATGAAACTAGTTAATACATAAGATTAAATGTTATGCATTTAATTAAAAATCACTTTGCCATGGGAAAGACGGAACACGCGTCAGACCTTCGCCTCAAATCAAACGCCGTCTTTGGATCAATTTTGTAGGCCTTACACTAATAAACAACAGGACAAGAAGAACACTAGATAGCAATCATGACATAGCCCACCACTTAAGGAGCGGATTCCAGACGGTCCAGGAAACGGTCCAGGAGGGTGGTGGAGCGGAGGATGGAGGTGCCAGGCCCGTCGAGCGGAAGAGGGCCTAGAGACTGTGGTAGGACGGGAGGCCAGGACGGAGCAGGCAGTGCAGGTGACCAGGGCGGAGCAGACGACCCATCAGAGAAGCGTGGCCTCCTTGGTGTTATCAAGGGACAAACTGCAGACTGCAAAATCCTAACATGTAAGTAAACGTGTTGGTCCTCAAAAGCACTTCTTTCCACATTTTCTGCTGTACATCGTTTATTTTTACCATGCATGAGCATCTGCACACCAGTTATGTGCATCCCATGAAATTCTGTTGTGTTTGTTTTATGTTTTTTCTGAGAGTAGAAATGACTTTCTTTTACTCACTGGAATTCCCAGCCCGATCTCATGAAAGTTCGTATCTATGGCACGAATGTCATTTCTCGGGGCATTTATACCCCAAAAACAGTTTTTGCGTGTATATGGCACGCGATTTTCGCGTACATATGATACGCACTTTTTTGCGTATAATACGCAGGAACTCTCCCCTCCCCCTAAACTTAACCAGGGTTTTTTAGTGCGTTATACACGAAAAAAAACACTTTTGGCGTATAAATGCACGAGAAATGACACTCGTGGTATAGATACGCATCTTCATGAGACTGTGTTGGAATTCCACCACACCTTTAAATAGTCTAAAACAATATTCGGAAGCAATAAATACTACATTAAGGCAAGACAACATTCTATGCGTACCTGTCAATCATTAGAGCGGCATCCATAAACTAGGGCTAAGAAACAGAATCTGCCCCTACACTACCATTTTATAAAGCAATGTTTGCATAATCTATGTTTTAACATCATTGATGACAGAGCATGCTTGAAAGAAATGTAATTAAGGTTTTTACTATACTTTTGTTAAAAAATAGGCTAACTACATGCTCACGCCTTTGAAGAAGCAGATCTAACCTCAAAGCCTATATATTCAAAATATTGAAAAATTAAATAGTGAAGCGACAATTTTGGATAGAGTTGCTTGTTTTGTTTAAAAAAAACTGTAATTAATAAATTGTGGCATAAAAAAGAGGCACCCACTTCGATATAGCTTTTCAGACGCCCTGTGTGACAACTAGCCCCGCTCTTCCCTAGCAAGTAAATAATCAATCAACAAAAACAGATAAACACCATGGTTAGAGCTACCTTTGGGTAAAAAGATGTGTCAGTCGCTTTAAATAAAGGCTGGGAGGAAAATTCCCATGGCGCATTCCACTGACTTCTCATTGGTTGTCTTCTGCTCTACAACATACCTGGCATTTCATGCATTGATGTCAGACTTTCGGGAACTAATCTGAAGTGAACGAACGTGACGTGATTTACAGAAAACTGCGTTCAGGAAAACTCCTTCAAGGTGCCACGGACACTGTTTGTTTCAAGGGAGATGGAAAGCCTGCTGTATGAATGAAGGTGGGTGATTCTCTTTATTACCCTATTTCCCTAGTTTTTGCTGATGTTAAATACGATATATGGTTTATTTGTTTACTTATTTAATAGACTAACGTTACATTTACATTTTATTACAGAGTTGTTTTTACACTATTAGAGGTGTTGTTTGGATCTACACGTTAAAAAGTTTTGCTTATTTTAAGGAAGAGTGCTTTTGAGTGCAGTTTAATATCGCTTTAAACAATTAAAATGTAATATCACACATCTCACATTCAATATTCAATATAATACAACAACGCATACAATGTTTACCTCAATGTCGTTTTTGAAGCGTGTAATCCCTTCCATACATCAGTTAATAATTTAAGGCCAGATCTGTTGATACGTCGGGTACAAAATTATATTTTCTTGTTCTAGTTTGGGTTTAAGGATTAAAGTTCTAGTTAAATACTTTAATTTCCGTTTATGTAACTTTATTTTGTTACATTTCAAAATTCAAATTGCAAAATGCTCGGCTCAAAATTATTAGGCCTATTTTTAAATTAAAAACGGCTACATTTAAAAACAAATCGTGTAGTTTGCTTCACTAGATATTACCGTCGTCCATTTAACATTTATATTGTTAAAAAAAATATTAAATGTTTAACTAGGCCCTACTTCTTACCTCGGCTCGCACTGGCAGTTAAAACTAACGTTAGAGGGTAACGTTAACGTAGAGCCCTGAATTCGCGCGCTGCTTAACACATAACGTTACAGTAAAGCCCCTCTTGGAATTGACTGGTCATCTAGTCATTTTAGTAGCCTATTGACAAGCGCTGTTAGATCACCCTTTTTAACCTTTTCTAAAGAATAATCCGAACAACACACTATGGTGGTTACAGCCCTGATATCGAGTAATACCGGCTTTACGTGTTACCTGGCAACGCAGAAACTAAAAACCAGTTTGAATAAGAGTGGTTTTAAATCTCTACCGCATCAAAAGGTTTTGTAATTACTCCGCTCAAACCCCACTCCGGGTTTTCTATTTCCAGCTCCCCGCACACTGGTCCAAGAAACCCAAACTGCCAAATTTACATTTTCGAACATTATAGGGTGAATTCAGGGGGATTGCGTCACTTTTTTCAATAGTGAAGTTTCCCCCCAAATTAACAACATAAATTTACCCCAACTATGGTCAAAATATGGCTAATGCTGAATGTCTATAGTTATTTTTTTTATGTTTTTAGTTAATCAATTTCTGTTGGAGAAATGGGGAAGTATTGCTGTGGATGTTGCACCTACTTCTTGACTGAAGATGAGAGGAACGCCATCGCCATAAATAAGGAAATCCAACATATCCTTGCAGAGCAGAGGAAAAAAGAACGGAAAGAAATCAAGTTGCTTTTATTAGGTGAGATGATTCTGTCTTTTATCTTAATTGTATTAAAACTTTAACATGTTGATTCATTTTAAGTCATCATGTGAAAAAATGTATAAAATATGCACACAAAACAGAATTTATCTTAGACTTTTTTTTTTTTGAAAGTAAATTTAGTCACATGCTCAGTTTGGTGTTGTTTTACTCTGTGGTGAACATCAAGTTTTTAATGTTGTTTATGTCTATGTGGTGTTTTTATAATATGATTTAAGACAAATCATGTGGAAATTCATAAGTCAGTAACCGAGGGATCGGGGGAGATGGCCCTTAGTTGGTAACCAAGAACCTGGTGGTCACTCTGACAGAGCTCCAGCGTTTCTCTGTGAAGAGAGGAGAACCTTCCAGAAGAACAACCATCTCTGCAGCACTCCACCAATCAGTCTGTATGGTAGAGAGCCAGATGTAAGCCACTCCTCAGTAAAAGACACATGACAGCCCACCTGTAGTTTGCCAAAAGGCACCTGAAGGACTCTCAGGCCATGAGAAACAAAGATTGAACTCTTTGGCCTGAATGGCAAGCATCATGTCTGGGAGAAACCAGGCACTGCTCATCACCTGGCCAACACCATCCCTACAGTGAAGCGTGGTGGTCGCAGCATCATGCTGTGGGGATGCTTTTCAGCGGCAGGAACTGGGAGACTAGTCAGGATCGAGGGAAAGCTGAATGCAGCAGTGTACAGAGACATCCTTGATGAAAACCTGCTTGAGAACGCTCTGGACCTCAGACTGGGATGACGGTTCCTCTTCCAACAGGACAAAGACCCTAAGCACACAGCCAAGATAACAAAGGAGTGGCTACGGGACAACTCTGTGAATGTCCTTAAGTGACCCAGCCAGAGCCCAGACTTGAACACAATTGATACTCTCTGGAGAGATCTGAAAATGACGCATTTATACGCATTTTGAGCTATCCGCGTGTATGCGTGTATGTCTACGCTGTTAAATGTCTGAGCGAAATGAAGCAAAATGTAGACCTACATCTGGGGAGCGATTATTTTTTTCCTAAGATGGTAAGGGAAGACTCATAAATGCTATTAACCCCAGTGATGGGTAGGTTTAGGGACGGGGTTGGGGTAGGTCATATATTTATACAGTAATGTAACGTTAAGTCAATGACATTCATAAAACACACTGAAAAGCGATACGTGTTGATAGCACGCCAAAAATGGAAATACGAATTGGTGTGTCATACATACGCCATTTCATGAGATCAGTCTGGAAATTCTCTGCAGCAGACGGACTCTATCTTTGTCCGTAGTGCACAGCGAGAGCTCAGGCACCAGCAGTCCACCCAGCTCGAGCCAGTCCGGGCTCCTCGTCCGCGACAGGCAGCCGCCTCCTGTTCCTCCATCAGCCTCAGCTGCTCTTCACTATACTGCGACTCGTAAAAATAGCCACGAACATCGGATTCGAGCAGCAGAATTTCAACATCATCTTCTTCAATATCATGTTTAGTTTCTTCCATTATTGTCATAACTTCCTATCTCCACAACGCTTGTTAGCTTTGCTTCCAAACAAGATGGCTGATATTGATTTCAGTTTCTGAAGTTGAAGCCTTCTTGAGCTGCCATCTTGTAGCAGAACTTCACTTGCGTTAGCATTCCCATTGACTCCCATTCATTTTGGCGTCACTTTGACAGCGAATAACTTTACATCTGAGGCATTTGAAGACCTCATTTGTCCTTTATTTATTTCTAAAGAAACACAACAATGTATAAAATGCTCCATTACCTTGTAGCTTATGTTATGGCCCCGTAGAAGCAGTTTTAGTGAAAGTAGGCTAACGATTGCATCATACCCACGCGACTCTCTGTCGCACAGTAGAGAGATTAGCGTATGGACATGAGAAGAAGCTCGCGCGCAATCGGGGAAACGTGGAGGCAAAATGACAAAATAATTAATCAGAATAGCTAGCAAAATTGTCTCCTTCTCCTAGCTCATGGACAGCTCCAACTCACACTCTCCGCCTCTGCAAGTTTCAGAAGGGAATGATTCAGATTTCTCATGCCACAGCACTAGAAGAAAGACGGTTGCTCTCGTCACAACTACGTCAAGCCCTGTTTGAGTCTGCGCGTCAGGGACGGAAGTGCTAAAAAAAATCGCCAAAAACGGGCTACAATCGTCTCAATGGAGTTCCAATGAGATCGCTCTGTCCATTTCTTTTACTGTCTATGGTTTAGTAAAGTCCCACCCACTGATAATAGGCTTGTAGGCTGAGTGGGTCCCACACCCTTGAATTGAAAGTTACGATTTTTACGTCACAATAAGCAGGAAGTAAAACACTTAAATCCTTATTTCTCCCATCTCAGGGGAAAATAAGGGAATAAACCATGACCATTCAAAAATATGACTGGGTTTCTAAAGATACAAAGCTTAATGCCAATGGGTGAAGGGTCCCTTTAATGCCTTGGCCTCCAAGTTCACCTGACATTTACCCAATCGAACATTTGCAATTGTAGTAGAAAAGCGGGTTTGCGCTACATCACCACCACCCTGCAGGAGGAACTACAGGTTATTATTACTACAGCTCATCTGTTTATTTTCTGAGTTCATAAAACTTAAGAAAGAAATATCAAAACACACTCAGCACTGAGCTTTCTGAAAAGACAATTAAATTAATGAAAAAGATAAAATTATTATAGATTAAAAATTAAAAATAAATATATATATTAAAAATGTTTTGCTTTCATTTAGGCACGGGAGAAAGTGGAAAGACAACGTTTACGAAGCAAATGAGGATTATTCATGGCAAGGACTTCTCAACTGACGAGAAGCGTAGCTACACTAAACTGGTTTTCCAGAATATCTTACAAGCTATGAGTGCAATAACAGAAGCCATGAACACGCTAAAGATTCCCTACTCCAACCCACAGAACGAGGTGATCAAGAGGCCGAATGTGTTTCTGTTGAGCCGGAGATTCATGAGGGCCATTTTATATCAACTATCCTGTGGGTAGTGGTGGGTGTGGCAAATGTTAATAAAATTACAAAAAAAATTATTATAGATAATAAAAAAATATGAATTATTAAATTATTTATACATATATAATAACTAAGAAAAACTCACAATTTTTAGGTGCCATTTAGGACATTGTCTCCCAATAAAAAGAACCGATTCTGAACTGCCTGAAACAATTCGTCAGTAATTCGAGTCTTACTTCTTGCACAAACCTATGTAGATTGTAATTGCATGATGCTAGCCTTTGGTACTGTGGTCCAGTAGTAATACAACAAAAATTAAAATAAAAAGCAAATATAAGTTAACTACACAACAGAATCATGCTCCCCAGAATAGACCAATCATTAAAGACAAAGAGTATTTATTTAACTTACAATAGAGAGACCAGGACTGGCAGGATCTCTTGCTCATTTATACCTCAAATGCTAAATTCAGTCTACTAGACTTTCTCAGTTTATATACTATTGTACTGGAACCTAAATTAAACATGTAATAAATGTGTAACACTACACCAGTTAGAGCACAGTAGACCAATCACATAAAACTGGGCCATCTGACCAATCAGAGGAAAGGATGGGTTTAAAAAGACTGAATCCTTAGTTGAACCGTTTCAGACAAGTTTTGAACCTTGGATGCATTAAAAAAAAATTTGGAGGAGAAATTTAGGAACCTTTAAAATAACATAATAGGGACACTTTTAATAAAGATCTTGCACTGTAATTGTCATTTCCAGTCTCATGATTCTGTGATATCTGTAGGTTTATGCCCAGTGGTTCAAGGATTTGGACATACATCAGATAACACAGCTGCAGAGAAATTACGTAGAGGCTATTCGTCACCTATGGGAAGACCAAGGCGTTAAGATCTGCTATGGACGGCGCAGAGAGTATCAGCTACTAGACTCCACTAAGTAGTAAGTGTTTTCAATTCCTGTCTTTTAGTAACTTCCTTCATCTTTGTCTACTTCCTCTTGTCTTTTTCCTAATGCCAATGACAATTCATGAAATGAATCATATGCAAATAGATACAAACAATGCCTTCATAACCAGTTCTACGGCACATGGTATGGGTTTCAATAGAAGTGTCTGAATTACGTGTTTCTTAAAGCTTTATTGGTGACTTGGATCGCATCACAGCCGAAGGCTACATCCCAACAAATCAAGATATTCTTCAAGTCCGATTCCCCACTTCCGGCATCATAGACTATTGCTTTGAATTGGAGAAGATGACTCTCAGGTAAGGCAATGGACAACCTGTCTTAACATTATAAGTTATGCGGGCATTGAAAGAGACTGTTCACCTGAAACTGTCATAACTTTCTTCTGTGGAAGTAGAGGTGAGCAATATGACCAAAATCACGTCATGAGTCATTTTATAACACAATAATGACAATGTATCACGGTTTCCACTTAATATAATTAATGTATACTTATTTTTTGTAAGAACACTTAAGTTCAAATATATTTTCAGTATACAGTACTTTATGTAGTAAGTATTCTGATATAAATGTACGTACTAGTATGTAAACTTGTGTACTTTTTTAGTACTAAGGATTAAATTGGCCCATTTTTAGTGTATAATAGTATACTTGTGTATAAGTGAACTTATAGGTATACTGATTAAATACGTGTAGCACAATTTTTAGTTTATGAAAGTACTCTTTGAAGTAGTTTAGTAGTTTTACACTGCAAGTATACAGTACTTGTAAGTTTTCTTGAACTTATAACATCATATATATAATTTTCTATTTACAGTATATATCACCTTTGCACTTTATGTATACTACTATGTTCCTATTTAGGTATCTTTTTTTTATTTATTTGAAATATACCTTTAAATTTATGTAAAATTTACCTTTAAATGTATATTTAAATTTACCTTTAAATGTATATTTAACTCTTTCCCTGCCTGTTTTTTTTTTTAAGTTCCCAGGCAGTGGCAGCATTTTCTAATCTTTTTCAGAAAACTTTGATCGTTGGAACATCATAACGATGATCAAAACATAGATAAAATAGATTAAGTCCATCAACATTCCCACATATTCCTAAGGTTGATTAACCCAAATCTTGTTTATTTAAAGGGGTGATGAACTGAGAAATCAAATTTTCCTAGAGCTTTTGACATCTAAGAGGTCATCATATTATATTATCATGTTTGCAGTGAATTTTTGCCGTCTGCCAGCTCTGCGGCCTCCTCCTAAGCCCCTGCCCGCCTTCCCATGTTAGACTTTTGTTGTTGTTTTAAGGTATGGGGATATGCCTTTTTGAAAGGGGGCAATGTCACATCAGATCTTTGTTAGTGTTTTGCTTCAGTTGGACTTTGAGTTAGTTTTTTGTAATGTTCCTAATTCAGTTTCTTAGTCTCGTTCATCTGTTGCCATAGTGTTTAATTTGCCCTCGTGTGACCTCGTTTAGTCCCTAGTGTTTCTGTACATCAAAAATCAAGGTGAGAAGCATCTGATTCAGAAGAAATGTGATAAAGGAATAAGGAACCGATTTTAGGGACAAATCTGGGTCTGGTGCAAATTCACCACACCAGATAAATTATAAAAGTGGATGTGACTAAACTTGATTTCTATTATGTCTTTTCAGGATTGTAGATGTCGGTGGTCAGAGAGGACAGAGAAAGAAGTGGATCCATTGCTTTGAAAATGTGACATCGCTCATATTTCTAGCCTCCATGAGCGAGTACGACCAACTTCTGGAGGAGAATAACAAGGATGTATGCTTCCTAATATCTCTCCTTTCAGTGTAAAATTGATAAATCTCTTTGTACTAAAGTAATCTTCTTTGGCTACAGAACCGTATGAAGGAGAGCTTGTCACTGTTCTACACGACCATCCACTCAAAGTGGTTTGCTAATTCCTCTGTCATCCTGTTCCTGAACAAAAAGGACATCCTGGCTGAAAAGATTCAGCTCTCAGATCTAAAAACATACTTTCCAGAATTTAAAGGTAGTTAGGTGCACATTCAATCAAAGTGAAAGGCAGCATTCATTCATCTCTTGTTTGTCATACCTAATTGATTTCTTTCCTTTCCTCTGTGGTTTAATGCCATCTTCAGGTAAACGTCGGGACGTTCAAGATGCCATGGATTTCATCAGAAGTTTATATATACAGAATGCAGTTTCCAAAGAGACAAAGAGCTCCAAACAAATCTACTTGCACTTCACCTGCGCCACGGACACCAAAAACATCCGCAAAGTCTTCTCCGACGTCAAAGACACTGTCCTTGTCAAGGTCTTAAACGATTTTGGAGTTATCTAATGAGCCCTAAATGCACCTTCAGTTTGCATACTCATCAGCCAAATGAATGTGTTATCATTATTTATTGCTCAACTACCAAGACGTTTGTGGGTGCGAGTTCTAAAACAGTAATCAAAATAAAGATGAAAAACCGCACTCTCTATGGTTGCATCTCATATATATTTATTATACTATGTCCACACAGACGCGTTTCAGCCTAAGCCATCATCAGTGAGTGTGTGGTGTGAAACAACAAAGAAATTGCTTTTAAACATCACAGGTGAACCCCATTAACATCCAATCAGCAAAGTCATGTGCAAGTTACCAACATAAAGACACACAAAGAGTAACAACAAAACAAACCGCTCACATGTAACCCTTATAAACAATTACAAAAATAAATAACAAAAAGGAAAAGTATAAGAAAATAAATAAATAAAAATAAAACGGAAACAAAACAACAGATTAAACACAAGAAATTAATAAACTTAATTACAAATTAAAATGTTTACAAGAAACAATTTAACGTCAGTTCTTCATTTAAACCATTTGGGTATACCGTTTGAAGCGTATAAATCCCAAAAGCTTTTCGTTGAAAGAGATAGCGTTCCCTATCTCCACCCTTGGAAAGACTTAACTAACTCGATGTCTTGAAATTGCATTTATTGGGTGAAATGATTCTGTCTGTCCTTTATCAGAAATTTCATTAAAACTTCCACACGATCTCATTTATGTGAAGTGATGATGTGTGTTTATTTTTGGTTTCTCACAAGATAGATTCCTCCCAAAGAGACAAGGGGGGAAAAGTTTGAAATATTTACTTTTTTGGGGTCTCTAAAAGGGAAGGTAAACTTGGAGCATTATATATTATGACACAATGCAGATAAATGGCATTTTAAGTTTGTTTCATTATCTTTTGAGGGGACATTCATGACCTGTGATCATCAACTGAATAGACCTGTGACTCTTAAAACTAAATTCACTTTCTCATGGAGGATGTATGACTTCAGTTCCCCTTCACTCGGTTGTCTCATGTTCAATAAAGGCTCAATATGCTCAAAGTACAGTATATAGTAGTTACAGGCAGTACTGTGAAAGTGAAACATTTTGTTACATAATTGCCTTTCTTATTACTCTGAAAACGAACATAGTTCATCATGTCATCTTCAACTTGCTTTTTATCTTTTCTAACACTAAAGCGGAAACATTTATGACATATTTTCTGGTTTCATACAGCTCAATGAAGAGCTTTCTGAAAAGACAATTCAATTAATACACAATTAAGACATCAATACAGGACAGATCACATAATGGCTATTTTTAGAGTGTAAAGATATATAATCCACTATTATGTGCATTTATTTTCAGGCAGTTGAAAAATGCCAGGTGTCCAGGTTTTCAATGCAGAAGCACATGATTTTGATTTTTATTTTTTATTTTATTTAAGCATGAGAGAAAGCAGAAAGACACCATTTACGAAGCAGATGAGGAATATTCAAGGGCTTCTCAACTGACGACGTAGCCATAGCTACACTAAATTGGTTTTCCAGAATATCTCAATCTATGAGTGCAATAATAGAAGCCTTAAGATTCCTTACTCCACCCCACAGAACGAGGTGATCAAGAGGCCGAGTGTGTTTCTCTTGAGCCCAGAAATTCACGAAGGCCAGTTTATATCAACAATCATATTTGAGATATTGTATATATTTAATAAATATTTTCATGTACTGTATATACTGTAGATTTATATATAATTTAAATTATATATATATATAATGTATTGTTTTTATACATATAATCAACATTTGTAAATGAGTAGTTTTATATTTCTCCATTTTTAATTCTATGCTGTTTGCAATTCTTCATAGGATTGATGGTCTTTTCCTCACAAAAACACAGTTAAAGGGTTAGTTCACCCAAAAATAAAAATTATGTTATTAATGACTCACCCTCATGTCGTCCCAAACCCGTAAGACCTCCTTTCATCTTCGGAACGTAAACAGTTTAAGATATTTTAGATTTAGTCCGAGAGCTTTCTGTCCCTCCATTGAAAATGTACCGTATACTGTCCGAATACCGTATAGGAAATAAAGACATATACATTAACAAATTAGTCCATGAGACATCAGTGGGTTAGTTAGAATCTTTTGAAGCATTAAAAATACATTTTGGTCCAAAAATAACAAAAACAAAGACTTTATTCAGCATTTCATTGTTTTCCAGTTCTGTTGTCAATCCGCGTTCAGTGACGCTGAAGACATAAGATGCTGCTGACGTGTATCTGGTGCGTCAAATAAATATGGCCAGGCAAAAAAAAAAATGCAAGTCTGTGTCGAAATCCTTCGACATGTTTGTGAAGATTAGCGTGTGTCTCCCTCGGGCGCACCAGATACACGTCAGCAGCGTCTTACGTCAGCAGTGTCACTCAATGCGGCACAACCACAGAACCAGAAGACAACACAATGCTGAACTTCTGGAAAAGGGCAATGTGGCAATCTATAAGGCCTACCTCTTGTTAGTTCTCATATGCCTCCTGTCCTTCCTGTGTAATACATCTGTTAATCTGTGTACTCTTCCTCTCTTTGGCTACAGAACCGTATGGAAGAGAGCTTGTCACTGTTCTACACGACCATCCACTCAAGGTTAGCTCATTCCTCTGCCATCCTGTTCCTGAACAAAATGGACATCTTGGCTGAGAAGATTCAGTTCTCGGATTTAGAAACATACTTTCCTGAATTTGATGGTACTTTGGTGCACATTAAATTAAAGGAAAGGCAGCATTATCTGTCTGATCTATTTTCTTAGTTGTACCTGTATACTGTATAGCAGAAAGCAGTTAGCAAGGAGAACTCTAGTTGTATTTACTCTCATTTCATCTGTGCCACGGAATACATTGATGGCCAGATACACCCGAACGTTGTGAAACACTATCTTGACGCTCTGTTTGAATGAAATTATAAATATGTATAATGATATCTATAATGTAGAATAAATGTATAAATAAAGTGCTATTGTGAGCCCAAAATGCACCTTCAGTTGCACTCACTCAGTCTTGATCTTAATGTCAACTCATCTACATTTAAAGACACTGCTATTTTATAAAGCAATGTTTGCATGATCTATGTTTTAACATCATCGATGACAGAGCATGCTTGAAAGAAATGTAATTAAGGTTTTCACTATACTTTTGTTAAAAAATAATAATATATATTTACATGCTCACGCCTTTGGTGTCCATTTCAGGGAAGCAGATCTAACCTCATAGCCTAAATATTCAACATATTGAAAAATTAAATAGTGATGCGACAATTTTGAATAGAGTGTACTTGTTCTTTAAAAAAAAATGTAATTAATAAATTGTGGCACAAAAAAGTGGCAACCACTCCAATATAGCTTTTAAGACTCCCTGTGTGACAACTAGCCCCGTTCTTCCCTAGCAAGTAAATAATGAATCAACAAAAACAGATAATAAACAGCATGGAAAGAACTACTAGGCTAGTTAAAAAGATGTGTCAGTTTAAATAAACCTGGGAGGAAAATTCCCATGGCGCATTCCACTGACTTCTCATTGGTTGTCTTTTGCTCTACAACATACCTGGCATATGATGCATTAATGTCAGGCTTTCAGGAAGTGCAACTGGTAAATCTGAAGTGAACGAACATGACGTGATTTACAGAAAACTGCGTTCAGGAAAACTTATTCAAGGTGCCACGGTCACTGTTTGTTTCAAGGAAGGTGGAAAGCCTGTTGTATGTATGAAGGTGGGTGATTCTCTTTATTACCCTATTTCCCTTTTTGCTGATGTTAAATACGATATAGCCTATGACTGTTTATTTGTTTACTTATTTAAGTATATTTTACATTTTATTACAGAGCTGTTTTTACACTATTATTAATCCCTTCCATACCTATTCCATATTATAAGGCCAGATCTGTTGATAAGTGGTGGACAAAATTATATTTGTTCTAGTTTGAATTTAAGGATTAAAGTTCTAGTTAAATACTTTAATTTCCGTTTATGTATTTTGTTACATTTCAAATTGCAAAATGCTCGGCTCAATTTTCAATTCAAAACGGCTACATTTAAAAACATTTAAAATCGTGTAGTTTGCTTCACTAGATATTACCGTCGTCCATTTAACATTTATATTGTTAAACAATTGGCAAATATTAAATGTTTAAAATTCTTACCTCGGCTCGCACTGGCCGTTAAAACTAAAGGGTAACGTCAGCCCTGAATTCGCGCGCTGCTTCTGTTTACACGTTACAGTAAGGCCCTCTTTATGGAATTGGTCATCTAGTCATTAGTATTGACAGGCGCTGTTAGACCACCCTAATATGTAACTTTTTTAACCTTTTTCTAAAGAATAATCCGAACAATATGGTGGTGGTTACAGCCCTGATATCGAGTAATACCGGCTTTACGTGTTACCTGGCAACGGAGAAAAAAAAAACGGTTCGGATAAGAGTTTTAAATCTCTACCGCATCAAAAGGTTTTAAATGACTCCGCTCAAACTCCACTCCGGGTTTTCTTTTTCCATGCTCCCAGCACACGTCCAAGAAACCCAAACTGCCAAATTTGCATTTACGATTATAGGGTGAATTCAGGGGGATTGCGTCACTTTTTTCAATTGCGAATTGACGACGTCAAAACTAACGGAAAATCAACTTGAAATCAACATCGTTTCAACGTTAGGAAAACAACTAACTCCGTCGATTTTTCGTTAGCCTAGTTTTGAGTATTGGCGCGTCTGACTTTAAATCGACGAGCAAAACAATGTCAGTCACGAGAAACGTCGTTTCTACGTTTATTCAATATCAGTTTGCTATCTGGGAAGTGTCCCCCCATATTAAAAACATAAATTTACCCCAACTACATGGTCAAAATATGGCTAATGCTGAATGTCTATAATTATTTATGTTTACAGTCAATTTCTGTTGGAGAAATGGGGATGTACTACTGTGGATGTTGCACCTACTTCTTGCCTGAAGATGAAAGGAATGCCATCGCCATAAATAAGGAAATCAAACACATCCTTGCAAAGCAGAGGAAAAAAGAACGGAGAGAAATCAAGTTGCTTTTATTAGGTGAGATGATTCTGTCAGTCTTTTATCTGAATTGCATTAAAACTTTCACGTTGATTCATTTTAAGTTATCATGTGGAAAAGGGTATAAAAATAAGCACACAAAATAGAATTTATCTTGGTGAAAATTTATTTGAAGACTTTTTTTTCTTGTGAAAATAAATTTAGTCAGAGCATGAACATTTGTTTTTAGTAAATACCATTTTGGGCAATTTCTCTTGAGGGACTTTCCTGAAATGTGATTATATAAGAGCTGATTAGACCTGAGACGCTCCCCATCCAACCTGATGGAGCTTGAGAGGTTCTGCAAAGAAGAATGAAAGAAACTACCCCAAAATATGTGTACCAAGCTTGGAGAATCATACTCAAAAAGACTTGAGGCTGTAATTGGTGCCAAAGGTGCTTCAACAAACTATTGAGCAAAGGCTGTACAAATTCTTGTACATGTGATTTTTTTCCCGTTTTTATTTTTTTTATTTTTAATAAATTTGCAAAGATTTCAAACAAACTTCTTTCACCTTGTCATTATGGGGCATTGTTTGTAGAATTTGTAGAGTGCGTATTTCCAACAGAGGCTTTGACACCTGGATGCACTGTTGGGCGGACAGGGTGGTGTTAATCTGTGGGCGATATTTCCTTCCCAATAGCACAATCCCTGACAGTTGTCAGGAATCTGAACATTGTTGTGGACCAAGTGCACCCATTTATGGCAACTGATGCCCTGCTGGTGATGGCCATTACCAGCAGGATAATGCGCCATGCCATGCTGCTAGTATCGTCAAGGTATGGTTCGAGGAACCACTGTTAATGCCTTGGCCTCCAAGTTAAACTGACTGAACATTTGTAATTGTAGTAGAAAAGTGGGTTTGCGGTACACCACCACAACCCTGCAGGAGGTCCTACAGGTTATTAGGTACGTTGTCATAATGTAATGGCTCGTCTGTGTATTTTCTGAGTTCATAAAACTTAAGGAAGAAATATCAAAACACACTCAGTGCTGAGCTTTCTGAAAAGACAATTAAATTGAATAAAAATTACAAAGAAATTATAAAAAAATAAATATATATATTAAAATGTTTTGCTTTCATTTAGGCACGGGAGAAAGTGGAAAGACAACGTTTACGAAGCAAATGAGGATTATTCATGGAAAGGGCTTCTCAACTGACGAGAGGCGTAGCTACACTAAACTGGTTTTCCAGAATATCTTACAAGCTATGAGTGCAATAACAGAAGCCATGAACACGCTAAAGATTCCCTACTCCAACCTACAGAACGAGGTGATCAAGAGCCCGAGTGTGTTTCTGGTGAGCCGGAGATTCATGAGGGCCATTTTAGATCAACACTCCTATTTAAAACCCACTACTATTATAAAACTACATAATAGTAGTGGGTTTGGCAAATGTTAATAAATAAAAAAAAAAATTATAGATTATAAAAAATATTAATTATTAAATTATGTATACATTTATAATAACACTAAGAAAAACTCGCAATTTTAGGTGCAATTTAGGACAGGACCATTGTCTCCCAATAGAAAGAACCGATTCTGAACTGCCTGAAACGAGTCGTCAGTAATTCCAGTCTTACCTTTTGCACAAACCTATGTAGATTGTAATTGCATAATGCCAGCCTTTGGTACAGTGGCCCAGTAGTGCACAATACAACGGAAATTTAAATAAAAAGCAAATATAAGTTAACTACACAAAAGAATCATGCTCCCCAGAATAGAAGGTTATATTCAAGACATTCAGGTGAAACGCAAGAACAACAAGGCATCCAAAATAGAGGCAAAAGCTTAACGTTACCGGTCACAGTCAAAAAAATGAACCACGCATATCCTAATCGAGACGGAGGCTGGGACTAACAATATCAGGGAGCAACACTGTTCATACAAAGCTGGGTAGGTCTCTATTCACTTCTATAATCGCTATTACAAAGCAAACAGACTACATGAGTATAACGTTGTATTTATTAGCAGCGTGTGCTAGCGAATCAACAACCAGTATGAGAACCGAAATCATAACCTAAAACATTATAAAACGGTCTAACTTGTATAACTTCACACTCACAGTAAGGTTAGATGTGCTTGTTGATCTTTGAGGGGTTTAGCTGACTGAGGAGATCCACAGTTTAATCCAAAGACGACACTTGTCAGGATTTGACTTCGGTTTTGGGATGGGAAAAAACAGACACCCCCCTCCAACCTCTCTGGGAAACGCGTATCTTTGTTACAAATGCCCCAGGCACAACGTTTAACCATATTTTTGATAAAACTACGACGGTAATAGCCTGGCGAGACCAAAAATATGAGATGCCTGTGTTGAAAATCAATGGAGCGCTGTGAAAAAGTGTCCGACCTCTGTGGGGGCTCGTTCTTGGCTGCACTGTGATTGGTCAATCTACATTCTAGGGCGTGGCTTAGCCAAAGGTAAATTAGAGCAGAGTAGACCAATCGCATAAAACTGGGCCATCTGACCAATCAGAGGAAAGGATGGGTTTAAAAACACTGAATCCTTTATCGAACTGTTTCAGACACCGTGAGAAAGAGGAGGTGCTGCAATGTATATTATGAGGAAAATTAAAGTTTTGAACCTTGGATGCATGTAAAAAATATTTGGAGGAGAAATTTAGGAACCTTTAAAATAGCATAATAGGGACACTTTTTAATAAAGATCTTGCACTGTAATGGTCATTTCCAGACTCATGATTCTGTGATATCTGTAGGTTTATGCCCAGTGGTTCAAGGATTTGGACATACATCAGATAACACAGCTGCAGAGAAATTACATAGAGGCTATTCGTCAACTATGGAAAGACAGAGGCGTTAAGATCTGCTATGGACGGCGCAGAGAGTATCAGCTACTAGACTCCACTAAGTAGTAAGTGTTTTCAAGACAATTCCTGTCTTTTAGTTACTTCCTTCATCTTTGTCTATTTCCTCTTGTCTTTTTCCTAACGCCAATGGCAATTCGTGAAATGAATCATATGCAAATAAATATGCAAACAATGCCTTCATAACCAATTCTACGGCACATGGTATGGGTTTCAATAAAAGTGTCTGAATTACGTGTTTCTTAAAGCTTTATTGGTGACTTGGATCGCATCACAGCCGAAGGCTACATCCCAACAAATCAAGATATTCTTCAAGTCCGATTCCCCACTTCCGGCATCATAGACTATTGCTTTGAATTGGAGAAGATGACTCTCAGGTAAGGCAATGGACAGCCTGTCTTAACATTAACGTTATGGGTCCATCAACATACCCACATATTCCTGAGGTGTATTCCAGAAAGCAAGGTTATCTTACAGTCAAAGACACCCAGAACTCTCGGTTGATTAACCCAAATCTTGTCTACTTGAGGTATGCGGGTTCCAAAAACATGTCCGGGGGTAAGTTCCGTCAATCTAGAGAGGTTCATTGTGGTCTATCTACACAAGACATTCTCAACAGAGCAATGAATCGACAAGACACTATGGAAATGGACGCTAAGAAAAGCATGCCATACTATGGGTGCTTCTCATTTCTTATTTGTGCATCCTCATGTCCTTTCCTTTCCTGTTAGTTCCACCCCCTTAGGATGCAAGGGAAGGATGCACCTATGTATCCTCGCTCATGACTCCTCAGGAAGCTTCCTCGCTCCTCGTTTCTTGCCTCCTCATGGTGTAATTAGAAAATTGAGATGCCCTAAAAGATGGATGAGTCCAATGAGTTTCCGAGTCACAGGCTGGAGGACAGAGCAGCGAGGAAGCATTAATTTGGCCGTTTCTCAATATGCCTTCTTGTCTGTACTTGTGTTCTTGTGGACTTGTGAAACGTCATCAGTCGCGGCCAAAGTACTGTCCCAATACACAAATTTGCATTTTGGCAAGAACGGTTAAAACCGTTGCATCGGTTAGTAACTTGTGTGAACTTGACGGCAGAAATATCCCATCATTCATTTCGGCATTCGAGGAAGGAGCTCCGAGTGGGAAGAAGAATTTTAAGTTAATATTTAACTGATTATTACCGCCGTTTTTCCCCGCCGTTGGCTAATGATGTACACAAACAAACAACAGAAGGAGAATTAAAATAAGACAGGTGTTGCTTTATTGTTATGAATTTACATTACATTTTAGTGTATGTAGAGTAACCCCTTAAGCTGCAGGCAGGCTTGGGCAATAAAGCCTGGTTGTTAACGTCAATAATCCTCGTTATGTTTGGCCACTGCAGACGGCGTCTGTGTAGGGGTACTATTGCGCAATACCAGCAAGAACACATTGTCTCAAACTTTCAGCAGTGTTCTGTGTGCTCATCGCCTTGTGAGTTCATTCTTCCAAGAACAACTAGCAAGAGCTTTTTGAACTCTCTGCCTGTCCTGGATCAAACAAGGAGGTCGTTTTTGAACTCTATGCCTGTTTCGAATTGGTCAAGGAGGCCGTTTTTTAATTCGTTGTCTGCCCTGTCATGGCCAAGAAGGTCGTCTCTTAACTCTCTCTCTGTGCTATACAGTTCTTCCGAGGCTCCACCTCAGCCACTCGTCACTGGGGATCCACCTTGGTCTCAGTTTCTTCGGTGTCGACCGGTCTCTTCCGCTTCGTCTGGGTCTCCACATAAACTGGCTCCACCTCTGTCAGTCATCCCCCTGGTTCTGCCTTGCCTCTCATGCAAGCCTCCACCATGGCTGCTCCCTCCATTGCCTCCACCATGAGCCTTCAACCTGCTAAGATGGTTTCGCGTCACAAACTTTGAGTTCGTTTTTTGTAATGATCCTAGTTCAGTTTCTTACTCTCATTCATCTGTTGCCATAGTGTTTAATTTGCCCTCGTGTCTCAACTGTGTCTTGTTAATGACCTCGTTTGTCCCTAGTGTTTCTGTACATCAAAAATCAAGGTGAGAAGCCATCTGATTCAGAAGAAATGTGATAAGGGAATAAGGAACCGATTTTAGGGACAAATCTGGGCCTGGTGCAAATTCACCACACCAGATAAATTATAAAAGTAGATGGGTCTAAACTTGATTTTTATTCTGTCTGTCTTTTCAGGATTGTAGATGTCGGTGGTCAGAGAGGACAGAGAAAGAAGTGGATCCATTGCTTTGAAAATGTGACATCGCTCATATTTCTAGCCTCCATGAGCGAGTACGACCAACTTCTGGAGGAGAATAACAAGGATGTATGCTTCCTAATATCTCTCCTTTCAGTGTAAAATTGATAAATCTCTTTGTACTAAGGTAATCTTCCTCTCTTTGGCTACAGAACCGTATGCAGGAGAGCTTGTCACTGTTCTACACGACCATCCACTCAAAGTGGTTTGCTAATTCCTCTGTCATCCTGTTCCTGAACAAAAAGGACATCCTGGCTGAAAAGATTCAGTTCTCAGATCTAAAAACATACTTTCCTAAATTTAAAGGTAGTTTGGTGCATATTCAATCAAAGTGAAAGGCAGCATTATCTCTTGTTTGTCATGCCTAATTGACTCTTTCTTTCCTTTCCTCTGTGGTTTAATGCCATCTTCAGGTAAACGTGGGGACGTTCAAGATGCCATGGATTTCATCAGAGGTTTATATATACAGAATGCAGTTTCCTACGAGACAAAGAGCTCCAAAAAAATGTACTCTCACTTCACCTGCGCCACGGACACCAAAAACATCCACGACGTCTTCTCCGACGTCAAAAACATTGTCCTTGTCCAGTCCTTAGAGGATAATGGAGTTATCTAATGAGCCCTAAATGCACCTTCAGTTTGCATACTCATCAGCCAAATTAATGTGTTATCATTATTTATAACAGAGCATTCCTGGACAAAATGTAATTATGAGTTTGTTTTATTTGTCTGTTTGTGTGCTTGGGCTGTTGGTGAAAATGTAAAAAATTACACAAACAAAAATGATAACTATACAATAAATTATAACTGTAAACAGTCAGTTTAAGGTAGAGTATGTTGGTTAAATATGTGGTTAAATGTCAAAATAACTCCAATATCATACTCTAGAGTTAAGTGGGGTGGGGGTAAATTAAGCACGATCTGATGTGACGTCACATAACTGTGTTGCATTGTGGTCTACAAAGTGTTTCTGCGCTCACGTCATGTCGTAATTACCATAATTTCGAAGTGACAACACGTTACGTTCTCGGACTGTTAATAAAAAAATCTGCAGAGGTCAGGTAGCACATGCTGAAATCTATGGTAATTACGAATGCACCTTATATATATTGAGTAGACTCGCTCCCTCAGTCAAAACAGAGTGGATGGTCTGTCCAAATAAACTTCCCTTGCCTACTTGACAAGGTTGAAAACACTTCAAAATGGCAGCAGAGATTTCACCCCGAGGGCAAATTCTTAGGAAAGTTTGTGAGTGTTTGTCTAAAAGTTGAGTTAAATGCAATCATTTTGCAACCTTTATTTGTGCCAGTGTGACTAAAACATGTTAGAGGACTATGCACTATGTTGGCCACAAAATAGTCCAATCAAATCTGACAAAACACACAAGGCTTAAATAAGGCAAACATGATCGCACACAGGTGCCAGGAATCAGAACATACACTCACCAAAAGGATTATTAGGAACACCATACTAATACTGTGTTTGCCCCTCTTTCGCCTTCAGAACTGCCTTAATTCTACATTGCATTAATTCAACAAGGTGCTGAAAGCATTCTTTAGAAATGTTGGCCCATATTGACAGGATAGCATCTTGCAGTTGATGGAGATTGGTGGGATGCACATCCAGGGCACAAAGCTACCGTTCCACCACATCCCAAAGATGCTCTATTGGCTTGTGATCTGGTGACTGTGGGGGTCATTTTAGTACAGTGAACTCATTGTCATGTTCAAGAGACCAATTTGAAATGATTCAAGCTTTGTGACATGGTGCATTATCCTGCTGGAAGTAGCCATCAAAGGATGGGTACATGGTGGCCATAAAGGGATGGACATGGTCAGAAACAATGCTCAGGTAGGCCGTGGCATTTAAACGATGCCTAATTGGCACTAAGGGGCTTAAAGTGTGCCAAGAAAACATCCCCCACCATTCCACCACCACCACCAGCCTGCACAGTGGTAACAAGGCATGATGGATCCATGTTCTCATTCTGTTTACGCCAAATTCTGCCTCTACCATCTGAATGTCTCAACAGAAATCGAGACTCATCAGACCAAGCAACATTTTTCCAGTCTTAAACTGTCCAATTTTGGTGAGCTCTTGCAAATTGTAGCCTCTTTTTCTTATTTGTAGTGGAGATGAGTGGTACCCGGTGGGGTCTTCTGCTGTTGTAGCCCATTCGCCTCAAGGTTGTGCGTGTTGTGGATCACAAATGCTTTTCTGCATACCTCGGTTGTAACGAGCGGTTATTTCAGTCAAAGTTGCTCTTCTATCAGCTTGAATCAGTCGGCCCATTCTTCTCTGACCTCTAGCATCAACAAGGCATTTTCGCCCACAGTGACAGGACTGCCACATACTGGATGTTTTTCCCTTTTCACACCATTCTTTGTAAATCCTAGAAATGTGCGTGAAAATCCCAGTAACTGAGCAGATTGTGAAATACTCAGACCGGCCCGTCTGGCACCAACAACCATGCCACGCTCAAAATTGCTTAAATCACCTTTCTTCCCCATTCTGACATTCAGTTTGGAGTTCAGGAGATTGTCTTGACCAGGACCACACCTCTAAATGCATTGAAGCAACTGCCATGTGATTGGTTGAATAGATAATTGCATTAATGAGAAATTGAACAGGTGTTCCTAATAATCCTTTAGGTGAGTGTAAGTCCAGGCAATGAATCATGGGAAATGCAGTTCATGATATGATCAAGGAGACAGGAGGTGTGCCCTCTGGTGGCTATCATCGCCACTCCATCTGACAGACGGGACAGTTGCTCACTATTGCTGTGTCTCATTTCGAAGGCTGCATCGGTTGCATACATCATTGAGGATGCTTCATTTCAGTAAACAGACCACTGCATTCCAAAGTCATTAAATTAATGCTTTACTACATAATGTTATGGTTCTGAAATTATTAATCTTGCAACATTATTTATACAATTATAATCACTGTAAATCCATCTGTGATTTACTCAGTTGCAGTTTCTGTCCCACCTATGCAGTGCAAGCATGGCTTGTGTTGATACTGATTTCATTTGATTGGTAACACAGCCCTATAGCCCATTATTATTCTAAATGAATTAGATTAAATTTAAGAATCTGATATAAAAGATGACAGGTATACATTTGAAAGTTGAGTGATACAAACAGTGAAATGTCCTAGTGCTGTTAGAACACTGCTCAGATAATCAAATTAGCATCAGTGTGACACTGGACCAGTCAAAAATGTTAAATTAAATACAATGTCAGGGATTTCTACTTCCAGGAACCCTACACACATTCACATTATCATCACACTATCCTCTATTCATAGGGCAATAAGGACACAGTGTCTTTTTGAAACAAAATTTACAATCTCAATCTCATGACCATTTAAATCTATAACACAAAAATAGAGGACACTTTTCCCACTGAAAATAGGCCACTGAACAAAAGCAATAAAAAGTCATACATACTCTTGTATATCGAAGCACGTTTCGATTCAATGTCATTTAAAGCAGCTCAACACATCCAACACATTTGAATGGTTTTAGAAAGCTAAATCATTCTTGAATGCCTGAATCTACATCTTTATTGCATTGCATTTGGAGGGACTAGCAATTCCACAACTACAGCTCTCACAACAGATATGCTTCACAAATAACAAGCTATACTCCAAAAAATATCCTCCTCATCCTGGAATTTAAAAATTATTTTTTATACTATTATATTATATTAAGATTAAACTGAAACTAACAGCATGCTGACCTTTACATGGCACAAAGCAGCCAAATTTACTCTAAAGTAAAATATGTTTTGATTCGTCTTGCCTGAATAAGCTGTCATCTTCCTTCAAGTCCTTTCCAGGTCACTTCAGCTGAGATGTGTGTGTGTGAGATGTATATATGAAAATGAAATACATTGGAATGGGACTATTCATAGGTCTTTGATGGCACCATGTGGCACCTGCTTGGAATAACAAAGCAGTAGGTGCTATTTGAATTACAATTGTTCTAGATTGGTATAGATTCTCTGTTTAAAAATATAGGCCTACCAAAATCATTCTGACTATCTCAAGGACTTTGACTTACTTACCTGGTTCCCATGGCGATATGTGGACTATAGGCAATCTCGATATCTCACAACACAGCGAAAGGCCTGATAAACCGGTTTTGCCTGCGAATACAAAAGACTGACATCCACAGAGCTCGAGAGAGGAGTGTCAAATACCTGTACAGCTATTCAAGAAATTAACACCACTTGTGACTTAGAACGTGTTTTGTATAATCTATAGTGTAGGCTATAATATTTAGCCTACTCGATCCTCTTGGGTCAGTCTTAGCACTATTCTATTCATTTTCTATAAGGGTTAATGCAGCTTTTAGGTTTATAGTCACTTATAGTCACTTAAAAACTTAGGAAGCTGTCCACTAAGACGGCATTTCTAGGAGATATGATGCCTAAAAATGCTGACTGGTGCACGCCTAGGGGGACGTTCACACCGGGCGCGTAAGTTTTTCGTCTATACGCATGCGTCAGTCTTGCGTCGCATCTCGAGCGTTTTTCGTCAAGCGAAAAACTTTTGAAAAGGCACCTCGAGATCCCTCTATTCTGCTCCGTTGCACCGTTTAGAGCATTTAAACACAAGAACGCTTGCGTCTTTGCCTCAAACCGCTCTCTAAGTAGGCAGCTGATTTAGGGTTTTGAGACAGCGCATAGCCTATTCACAGAGTTCAAGAAGGACTTTCCTGAATTGCAGGTAGATCGGTCTGAAGTTAGGGGGGAAATGATGTGAAAATAGATGCACAGATACATCTGGATTTTTTTTCCGGGGGGCGACCTCTGAGAAAACTTCTACAGGAGATAGAAGTTAGTTCAGATCCAGTTCGGCTCAGGGAGGAAAATGGATCGTGTTTCGTTTTACTGACCCCGTACAGGTGTGTCGACGAATGCAGGTAAGTGATTCAACGCATTTATAGTCTATTTAAGTAACCTATTCTCTTTTTTTTTTCTTTAAAATAATAATAAAAGGTTCAGTGGCACTGCCAACCTGTAACGTTAATTATAAGTAGCCTATTAGGTTTCATCTTTTTCTTCTTAGGCTAAGTTCGAGATTGTATAATGTATTTCTTTAAAATGGATTTTTAAAACAATATCACAATTAAGAGCTGATTTGCCCCAGAATAGCCCATTAATACATAGCCTATTCGTTGGAATAGAATTTTACACATTTAAGGCTAGGCTACACTAATGATGGAAGTTCAGCTCATTTCCGCGAATCGGTTCTTTCGAGCAGTGAATAAAACGATTAAGTGTTTATTTTATGTCACAACACAATTACCTCAGTCTCTAGCATATTTCAAGCTCGGGTAGCCTAGTTCAGTTTGTTACAGCCAACATGGCTCTTAAAAACAAAGTAGCATACAGTGGCGTAAGTGGTGGGACAAGACAAGTGTGTTGTTGTGTGTGTGTGTGTGTATGTGTGAGGGTGAGGGGGTTAATACAATGCTAGGCTAAATCATAAATCAGATGTAGGCCTACCTATCATACCAAAGTCCAGCAATCGATTTAAAATAGTACATTGTGTTTAATTTGTCATTTAAGAACATCCAATTTGTGTTGGTGCAAAGCATGTTCTTTAATGGTCCATTAGTTACATCAGTGTTGCAAGATGTTTCAAAGGTGGTGTGGGACTATTGACCCTAGCAAAAATTGGTGGGGACATGTCCCACCTGCAAATTACGCTTATGATGTACATAAATACCATTTGATATAATCAATTTCCTTTTTTTTTTAGCTACAAACATTTCTCCACTTAAATGTTACTTACTGAATTACAACTCCTTGAAGAACATCTGGGACTGACCGGTTTTGTGAACCAATTGATTCTTTTCGAAAGATTTGACTCTAAACAACCTCGCAATTATAACCTATACGTTCTACATTTCTTAATTCCCCATTTTCTTAAGAGCCATTATATTAAAAGGGTAACTGAAATCAAATGTGGTCTGCATAAAGTTTCATTCTGCCCTATAGGAGACATGGGGTGCTGTTGGAGATGGTGGTATACGACGTGCACCTGTTGCATGTCTGAAGATGAGAAGAGTGCCGTGGCCGTTCACAATGAAATCAAAAGAATCCTTGCTGACCAGAAGAAAAGAGAACGGAGAGAAATCAAAATACTTTTATTAGGTAAGATCTTTTTGCCTATTAAAATATATTTAACTATAGACACTGAAGAAATCACCCAAGGCGATAAGATCAGGTGAGTGTATCTGGAGTCATCTTAACTGTAAAGGGAGTAAACCATTATTTGGAAAATGCATGTTTATGCATGTTTTTATTTATTTATTTATTTATTTAACCTTTATTTATGTTTTTTTTAAAAATTAAAATTAAAAGGTAATAAGGGTGTTGTAAAGAATATCACAGCATGTGTTGAGCCATCTACCCGGAGAAAGTTGTCAATAGCAACTTAGCAAGTCAACTTTACAAAAAAGCAACATTGTCTCGTGATGTTTTGAGGGACACATTCTTGAAGAACATCAGAAGGACATGCCTGAAAAAAAAAAATCTTGCTCATCGTAAAAATGATTTCCTTTCTGTCACTGCTCACGCTGATTTGATGACGTGATGTGTGATTGTTTGCCCGTCAAATATTTGCAGTTTGAGTTACTGATAACTTGTTAAATCTTATCTGCTCAAATTCATCAAACGAAAACAATAAGAAAGAAATAGTTGTAGACTTTACAGCAGAGAAAGTCTCCCGATGGTGAAGGCATCCAAACACGTCCGGCCACATGCTTTCTGACACGGCACGTCTCCGAATGTCAGTCTGAGATTCAAACATCTCGCTTTGTTAACAGGCCAGATAACATTCTTTTGTGCATGAGAAAAGCCACATATGCTATCATCTGCACCTTGCATTCCTTTCGGTTCTCTATTTTCTGTCATGCAATGACCTGGTTTCAGAAGTAGTGTTTGACATCCCTTTTCTATTTCATGTAATATTGACTTAATTTTTTTAATTCGGCCTGACTTTATCTTGGGGTGTCTTTTAGATACTATGTACTATGTGTCAATGCACTTATTTTTTCATCTTGTATTGCAAAACACTTTTGCCACCATATAATGCATCGGTCGGGTTCTGAAAGTAATATCTCCATTTTCACCATAAGAAAATTGATTTTGAACGATAACTTGTGAACCTTTAAAGACAGACCTATTGTTCGCCACGAGGTTGTTAATCCATGGTATAAGCCGCCAGCCCGCATTATTTCAGCTTATTTTTAAAATAAGAGTTTAACAGTGAAGAACTACATTACCCATGATGCAGTACAGAAAACTCCACCAATCAGAGAGTCGGAAAAAGCTAAATGCGCCAAAAAAGCTCTTTAGCTTTGCCCACTCTCCCATGAAGCATTGCGAATGGCATAATCGAGTCGGTCTCCTTACACTCTCAAAATATTTGATCCCCCTTCACATGGATCCAAGAAAACTACAAAAAAAAACTGTATTTTGCAGCCTGGCCAGTAGTTGGCGATGTCACTTTGTAAATAAACACTACACGGATATAGACTGAACACTTAATGCACACGTGCATGACGTCAACGTTTTCACAAATGTATGTTTTTGTAGTTTACACTGAGACTATAACGGTATCGTTTTCAAAAACGTGTGCTTTGAAACCCATTTTCAAAAGTTTGTTTTTTTAGGCCCCCAAAACAGTTGTCGTATAAATGAACGGTCAAAACACATAAAAGGTTTTCCATTTTTAGTTGAAAACGTTGTCGTGTAAATGCCCCTTAATCAACATTTGTAAAGGAGTAGTTTTATCTCCATCATTTTTTATTTGATTCCGCTGTTCACAATGCTTCATGGGATTGTAGTTCTTTCCCTAACTTAAATCCGTCAAATACACTGTCTTGAGCCTTTGTATTTTTGTCAGAATTTCAAATAATTTTTTGCTTCAAGTCAAAGTTTGATTCACTTTGTTACTGGTTGGCTTGGTTCATGGCTTTTGACACTTTAATGGGGGAACATTTTGGGGATAAGGGATAAGGGGTAATTCTGTAATTACAGAATTAATTACAGCTGTAATTACATAAATCATGTACACAAATAAGTGCATTGTATCAAATGATTAGAGCCCGACCGATAAAGGATTTTGAAGGCCGATACCGATACAAATATTTGTTGGTTTTAAAATCCGATATTCCGATATATCGGCCGATATTTTTTATTTTATTTTATTTTTTTCAGAAACGCGCAACAAAACATTAACAGATTTCCCTAACATTATTTATTTGTAGTTATTTATGAGTTTTAACTAAAATAAAATGATAATGCATTTTAAAAAGAAACTTGTTTCTTTTGTCACAACAGAACAGACTGATGATAGTGGCATTAGCTAGCTTTGTGGTTAGCTAGTCTATGATGAGCCATAATTTAGCAATGGATAACGTCATACTGCAAATTGTAAAACATACGTTTTCAATATAACAGGCCTAGGAGAGATGATGCGTCTCATTGCTATAACTGTCACGCGCTATTAAAGAAATACTTCAGTCACATTGTCAAAAGTTAAAAGGACAGTCAGTCAACTTCACGGTAGCAACGTAACGTAATTATTACTAGCTAATTTGTCATGGCTATTTGAGTTAAGAGAACTTATGGGGATGTTCTTTTAATTGTTATTCAACCTATGTATGTCTCGTGACCAACTCAACGAGTGTTGCCAACAGGGACGGTGTAGAGTGCCCTCTGGTGGACAAACTATACAACTCCAACACTCATGACATGGTTCAAGCGTGTTTCTTTCGTCCGTTTTAATTTTATTTTTGAAATATTCATTTATCGGTCATTATAACTGCCGATACCGATAGTTTGTAAAATGCCTAATATCGGCCTGCCGATCGGTCTGGCTCTACAAATGATTCAATCAAATGTGTGTACATAGTAGTTAAAGGCATTTAATATGAAGGAGGTCCTTTTATTCTTGTGGATTTCAGGCACTGGAGAAAGCGGGAAGACGACTTTTATTAAGCAGATGAGGATTATTCATGGCAAGGGCTTTTCGGAAGAAGATAGGCGTGGCTACACTAAAATGGTTTTCCAGAATATCTTCACAGCTATGAAGGCTCTGACAGTGGCGATGAACACCTTAAGGATTCCCTACTCCAACCCACAGAACGAGGTGAGTTGCCAAAGAAAATCTCTTAATTGTTTTTGAACCTCTCCCATTTGTAAAGTTGAAATGAACTGCACAATGTTCCTTGAGACGCCCACTGATGGCACAATTTGCACAAGCAAAAAAAAGTAATATACTGTAAAAAAACGAAATTCTTTAAAAAAAAAAGTATAATAGTTATTATAATTATTATACAGTATTGGTATGTAAAGTATTAGTATTACTTAAATATTTTAATTATGTACATAAACCAATCAATCTATAATATATTAATACGATAAATATATATGATACTTACACTTATATTCATGTACAGTATATTGGATATTTATATATACATGAATGTATATATATATATATATACTTATACAATATAATTATGTATATTATGTACATTAAAATAAAAAATATGAAATTCTATAAAAATGATGTAAAACATTTATAAATATAAAATGTATAAGCATTATAAGAATACTGTGTGTGTGTGTGTGTGTGTGTGTGTGTTTATTTATTAAAACCGAATGACTGTAAGATTCTTCTTTCAGACAAACCAGGATTACAAATTACAACCACACTATATTCTTATAAACAAGCCTCAATTGTTCCCATTTATATCCTTAGGTATATGGGCAACAGTTTCAGGGAGTGGAAGTATGTCAGATAACACATTTGGACAGAATGTATGTGGCAGCTATCCATAAACTTTGGGCTGACGATGGTATCAAGACCTGTTACGGTCGCCGTAGAGAGTATCAGCTTCTGGACTCGACAGAATAGTGAGTATCTCTATCAGAAATCCAACTCGGACAGGGTGATCAGGACCCTAACATGAAGTCTTATATCATTCTAAAGGGTTTGATTTTGAAATGATGACCAGTTGACTGTACATTAGCATGTTCATTACATTAAATTTTAATAAATAATATGGACATAAAATATTCATTTAAAAGCCAGCTGTCACATGTATGCTCTGTTTTGTTTAGTTTCTGTGTTTCTGTTTCCCTTGTTAGTACTTAATTAGTTAACACCGGTTTTGTTTGGAAACCCTGAGTTTCCTTTGTTTTTTTTTATCTGGTATCGTCTAAGTTTAATGTGGTTGTGGTTGTTTATTCGCCCGTGTGTTCCCGGTTGGATTTATTAAATAATTTTGACTATTTGTGACAACAGCAGAGTACATATTTGTAAAACATATTGACCACAGAATGTGAAAAAGACAGAATTATTACTATTATTATAATACTACTTAATACTTAATACTACTTAAATTAATTAATAAAAAAAAACTATTTCACATACATTTATTAAATTGAATATGCATTACTATTTATTCAATCTTTACTAAATGCATTTTTACCTAGATTTTTAAAATTAGAATTATATTTACATTATTAATTATTTATTTTTTAATGTTTATTTATTTATTTATTATTTTATTTATTAAATTCTATTATGATATTAATTTGTATTTATTAAATATTAAATAACCAACATTAGTAGAATTGCATTTATATAATTACATTCATATATTTCTAACATATAGATATATAAAAATATTGGTATTGTATCAATAGTAACATATAATGTTAATAATAAAATGTTACTATTAACAATAAATTTAACTGTTTAATTTAAAATTGTCTAATTAAAAAAATCACTTTAATTTCCCTGTTAAACCAAGCAAGGAATTTTTGTGTCAAAAGCATATAATGTTGAAAAACCCCTGAAATAGTTTGTGCAGATCCAAATGGTACCATTGGAGGGCAATACAGCTACAGTATATCTTTAGACAAGCATGCAGGGCAAGCAAGTCAGTATTTCCCTCCATTCTCTTATGTTGACGATTGATGCTTTGATGCTTTTCAGTTCTCAGATTGTCATAATACATTTATTTTTATTTTTATTTTTTGTTAATGCCATTTACAGACCAGAAGCCTTTTAAATTAAGTCAGTGCTGCATATTGTTAAGCAAATTTCCTGTAAAGTGTATCAGGGCTTCTTGTTAATCGTTACCTAATCACTCCTTTACACAGTTCTGCGCGTCCTTCTCATTCTCTCCTCCTGCTTCCCCGATCCTGTTTTCAGTTCTACAAACCTAGCCATGATAAGAAACACAAACAAACCTGGATGTTTAATTAAACTACCGTTTAAAGCACAAACACCAATAAAGCAAAAGGCAAACATCGTGGCACTTTATCACACTCGCACAGTTCTGAAATGTAACACTCAAGTACAGTATGTTGAATTTATTATTATTTTTTTAGCTATATGACAAATTTGGAGCGTATTGCGGCGCCAGACTACATCCCAACAGCCCAGGACGTGCTGCGAGTCCGATTCCCCACCACAGGCATCAACGATTACACCTTCAGCGTGGAGAAGATAACCCTCAGGTACCGTAAGCATATTTCCCCCCGGTTTCACAGACAAGGCTTAAAGGCACACTATGCACTCTCTGGTTTTTTTGTAAAACAGTGACCTCTAGAGCCGCTGTGGTGTACTTGCACTGTCGTAAATAACCGTTATTCCCCTGTTACTGCATATACTGTCAAGTGGTAGACTGCTTTTTAATAATTAAGTTGCCTATCGCGTTTGCTGGCTTATAGCGTTTTTACATGATTTCTGCAAAATCAGAAGTAAATAGCCTATAGTGTATAGGCTACTGTATAATTTCATTCATGTTTTTTGATTGTAATGTTAAAATTACAAAATGTCAGATGACATCAATCAAATGTACGTCACATTATTTCATAACATTGGACGTTATGATTTAGACATGATTACAATTTATCATAATAGCAAATTGTGTTCAATTATTTACAACCTCTAGGCTTATATATGTCCTAATAATTATGTGAGATATTGACTATGTCCTCATGGTAATCGCAAGAATCAACATCAACAGCGTCAAGATTTGATTGATTCATAATCAACACAATTTGAAGTTACAGTCGGGAAGTGTACTGTTAGTCAGATAAACAGTAACTTACACACGTCATAAGAAATCCGAACCAGACACAGGACTAAAGATACGTGATAAATACACATCACAACACCTGAGTTCAGCTGGCAAACTAGCTCTTGTGGCAAGCTCGGCAATAAAACATAACGGAAAAAACAACAAGACTAAGAGAAACGACTGTTTTTAGGAAGTCTGCTTAAAGCTCTGGTAATCGAAAGCTATAGACATGTGAGAATTATTGAACTGGTCTTATTATCAACAACGGATGAATGAACAGCACCGTAAAAAATGACATACCACAAGCCAGTGCAGCAACATACAATATAGAAACAACTAGTATACAAATACAAACAAGTTTATAAATAAAAGATTTACTTACAAGTCCATCAACAAGATCGCCAGGTCAGCATCGCAGTTACAATCCAGTGCAGCTTTTAAGCTCGCGCCAACGAGTGAAAGCCCGACCGAGTGGACTCTTGTCCGGTTTCTAGCACGGTCCGATTCTCTTTCCCTGTTTCGAAAGTATAGCTTCATACAGTATGATGTTGTTGATGCGTGTGACGTCGTTGCCGTAAACCATTTCGTGATTCTCACGCGCTGTGTCAGGGGCGCCACTCTCCAACTTGCATGGCTGGTTTTTCCGGCGGCGTCCCCCCAAGCTTTCCTACCAGGATGATTCGCCCTACTATGACTTTGTTAACCACCAAAACGACTTTGAAGCTGTTATATTAAGGTACAGATCTTGCATAGAGTGCCTTTAAAACTATATGAACGGTGTTCGTGGTTTGACTTGTCGAAACTGTTTTCCAAAGATGGTGCCGCCTGTATACACGAAGTGAACTGTCTTGCCTTTAAACGGTCTGTACTCTTACAAAGTTCTCAATGCTTCGTTTTGCATGTATGGACCCTCATTATGTTACTGTGTTAGTGTGGAGATATTATGAGCCTGTTAGTGGTATTAACTAGTGATTTCCCTTTACTTATTATATGCCCCCATATACTAGTGTATACGCTAAACGGTTTTTAGAGATAAAACTCTTTACATTCGATTATCATGAAAACAAATCCCAGAGAACGGTCAACTAGGTGCCAATACGTAATTAGACCAAAGGTTCATTTTGCGCCGGAGTTCTCCTCTAATTTAAAATAAAATATGAATTAAAATAAAATTAATTAATTATACTAAATCCATTAAATGATCCCATGATGGGAACCACAAACGCTTCTATATATAACCTTTTCTTCTAAGAATGTAAATATTAGAAGCTGGCCAAATAACACATAATGAATCCTTGGTAACACTTTATTTAAAAGTCCACTTTATACATTCTACTGATTATAAGTAACTTATAAGTAAACTACTTGATGTCAAATAGCAGTCATTAGAGTATTAGTAGACTGTCTGCTTAATATCTTTTGATGCTCCTCCAACAGACAGTTCCCTTTTAAAGTGTAACTTCGACGCTGCGTCGTGGTGTTGACACTATGGGAAAGCTTCCTGACACGTGTCTGAAGCACGTGTGATACATACCAGTTTTGATTGGCTACCACAGTATGGTGACATCCCAGTGAAGTGACATCATAGACACACTGACAGGCTATAAAAGGGGGCCTTAAGAAAACGGCTTTTTTTTTCAGGAAGCTGTATGTTCAACACTATCTCACAACCAATGGGCTCTATGCACGGCGTTATTTCCGGTGAAGGATTAAGGATGCTCGATAACTTCCACCGATCATAGAGTCCAATGCAATACCGAGAATTTATATTGAATTTTATACTCCATGGTTATACTAATGAAACATTAGTCACAAAAACAGATAAAACAGACACCCCTCGTTGTGTTTATGCTTTTTAAAATTATATTAAATAAACATAACTATATATAAAATTACATCTAAACGTATGTACGTTTCGTTTCAAAGACGGGAGGACAGTAAATTTTGAAGACTCTGCCATAATCCCGTTTTCTCCGGTTTTCCTCCGCTTTAATCTCCACAACCGGAAATGGACGAGCATCCTTACGTCAAATGCGGAACTTATGCGTGCATATAGCCCATTTGTACGATTTGTCTAAACTCTAATAGGGGAGGGGTCAAAGCAGTGGGCGATTTAAAATGGCGACGGATAGCTGAGTCAGCTAGCGTTTCCCGTTTAGAAGAGCAAAAAGTTTGTGGACTGTTTGTGTATCTCGTTCTCTTTTATCGGTCGAGCTCGAACTGGCTACCTTTTGACAGGCCAGTGTCTCCTTTCTTTTCCAGTCCTTAAATATTTCCATGTCATGCTGTAATCTTGAAATTAAGTTGTAGCATTTCCGACAGACTCGTGAGGAACAAAGAGCTGTGTTTAAAAGATCTAATCCTAAGTTTGAGAGTTGGCTACATTTTCTTGTTTCACTCTGGCAAAAATAAGTTTAGAGGCCATGATTGTACCGCGGATGCGTAGATTAACTTCGCATAATCTGCAAAAGTCGTTTACAGCCATGTTTACTCCGGTATTTCGCTCGCATCATCAAGTGTTTACAGCAGGTTTACAGTGGAAGTTCGATCACAGATTTGAGTTTGATGCATGATGTCTGTGGTTCAATGCGACTGTGTTGGCGCATAACATGTCATAAATAAACGTATGGGTAACCAATGATTTTAAACTTCAGACAAGCGCCCCCTAGTGAGAGAGAAATCACTTCTCTATTATGCCATTCCAGACTCTGTCTACGAAGCAAAGTGAAGTAGCAGAGTCTGATATTACTAGGCTAGAGGTATAGCATTACAGTTGATGATGGAGAAGCGGCAAACAAACAACGCCAGCCAGCGTCCTCTCACATCCGTAAGCGATCAATGCAAGCATACCAGGGCGATTTATTAAAGGATCTTTACCAAAAGGAATGGGTTGTCTCCAGATGCAGTCTTGGAGATCTGTAGCACTTTCGGGGCTCAAGGAGGGGTAAAGATCTTTCCATCTTGATGCCCCGCTCTTCCCTTCCAGACTTTTTGGTACAGCTGTTGACAGTGTTGAGATGCTGGTCCAAAAGTTCAGGGAGTCGAAGGTTCAAGCATCAGCATTCATGTTGTTAGGCTACTTCTGTGACTTTTGACTTCTTTTTCTCCTGTTTATTGGTAAAAGAATACCGCTTTTAATATTTTTTTTTTTTTAAATGGATAATTAAGAAGTATTGTTTTGTCATTTATGTTACACTCTGACCTAGACCAGGGATAACAATGTAAAATGCAGTATGCATATAAAATACAACATATAAACTATACTTTATGAACACTTTTATAATATCTATTATTGAGGACATTACACTCTTAGCCCGAAGCATAAAAATTATTTATGAATAAGGAAAACCTATTTTTAAAATATTTTTGTCACTACACTATATGAAGAGTTCAGATGCAAAAGCCTCTAAATGCCATTTGAATTTTCTTCTTTAATGATGATTTTTTTTATCAAACTTGTATATTTAAGTTCAGTAATTTCACTTAAATAACAATTAATAGGTAATTATCATTGCCATTTAAGTGAAATCACTGAACTTAAATATACAAGCTTGATAAAAATGATCATTCTAAGAAAATTTCAAATGGCACTTAGAGGCTTTTGCATCTGAACTCTTCATATATATACTGTAATAATTATATTATTTCTGGGTCTAGTAACATTATAAACGTTGCATTACAAGAGAGTACAACAGACTGAAAAATAAGGATGAATTTGACAATGAAGGAGGGCATCATAGAGGCAGAGAAAGAGAATATATGAACGAGAGGCCAAGAGGGAGAGATAAGCAGACCTGTGGGTGATGTCTTCAGATGGGGTTTCAGGGTGCTGATGGTCACAGCTGACTGACTTCACTACAGACTGAAAATCTTCTGAGTCCAACATCTCTCTACAGCCAGCTAATAGAGACTGTCACTCAAAGTGCTGACAAGTAGTGCACGCACACACACACACATGCACACACATAATCATGCTCTCTCTCTTTCACTCACACACACCAAGACCCTGGCCATAAATCAATGCCACACAAGTGAACGTGAGAGGAATATGAAGCCTGTCTGACTCATTCAACTCAGTTTTAGATATGTGGGAAGATGACAGCAGTCTGACCTATAGCCAATGAAACACTCATGGTTCCATGTCACTATAATTCAGCAAATTCAATCTTAAATCCCTATTTCATGTTCTAGCTGCTTCATCACTCTTTAATCTACCAGACGTTAAACAGGGAGTACTTTTGCTGTCATAGTTCATCTAGTGCAACGTAT